CCCCCCCCCCCCCCCATCGCGGATCGGTACTTTTGTTTTGCGGCTTATTTTGAAATAGTTTAATATGTAATTCAAGCTCATATAGCCGTTTATCAAAAAATAATCAAACAATGTAGTTGGTGGACGGTAGTCCAAATAAGTATCAGGTTTAATTTCGCCAGCTTCATAGTTCTACAGTTTATATGTTTTACAGGGCATGAAATTGAGAATTGAAAAGAACACCTTAGGCACCTTTTGAAGACAGTATATATGTAGCTATATTTGTTATCACCGCAACTTCTTGTGGCGTTTGTGCAGTATACGAGTGAATTGCGTCACCGTCGGTAAGTCGCGCTTGACCTGGCCATAGGCCGATAGATAAAAATGTCAAACAGCAGGTAGCATCATATAGGAATCAAGTTACTCTTCAAAAAGTGATCAAAAATGCAGACAAACGACGGCTTCGAGTCAGAACGCCAAGAAAAAGAAGCTACCAAGCTTCACGAAGACAATGGAGCGTGTAATAAGACTGTAAGTGGTAACGGAGGTGATACTTCAGGGAATGGGTCACATTTTAAAGACATTGATTTGAATGATGATGACGTTGAGGTTAAAATAAATGATAAGAGCATTATCGAGGAGAAACAACATGAAGATAATAAAGAATCAAGGTAAACCATTTGTTAAAAATTTTACATTTGACAAGTCGTAGTCGTTCCCGTTGTCAAATCTAAAGCTCTCTATTAGGTATTAACTACTGAATGGTGTGCGCCAGATGCCTGTTAGAAAATATCTTGATGGTTTGTTAAAACTCACAATGTCATATTTAGACTTGGCGCTCTAATTACGTCTGCTTCTCCCTGGGCCTTCAAATGCAGACTTGGTTGAGTATTTTATATTTAACACGAAGCCGCGCCTACTGCGTTCGCGATTCGCTGACCTGCGTTAACTACTTGTAAAGGCTGCTTTGAGCGTTTTTCATAGGTGCGTGTGCGCACCTATAACACGCGGAAAAGTTATAAATCATTTAAATTCTACTGACAAAATAACTGAATAAATAAAAAGACATGCAGGATTTAGTTTTCTGTATCATTTCATGTGTTGTCGTTGTTGAAGTAATTATTATTTAAACTTTTCCGTCCTTACACTCACGTATTAAAAACGCGTAAGTATACTAACTCATGGAATGCAGCCTTAATCCTATTTAATACCAAAAAGGAAATGGGAGCCATGACGTAATGTCTAAAGATCAGATTATGTCGTAATAAAACACCACCCACCAGCTATGAACAGTACAGTGACCGAAACATGCAAATATATGAATATATGGCCAAAAAAATTAATTAGTCAGATACAATTATAATTAAAGATTGTGATATAACATATAAATGTTAATGACTATCCAGTGTAAAGACTAAAGGTCGATTTACACTTTATACTATACAACGTTTGCCTGAAACTGTCAAGATGACTGACATACCTTCACCAATGATTCATCTGATCTCACCTATGACCTACGCTATCCACAATATCTCTCTTTTTTAATCCCTTTCAGTGTGACCGAATGGGCTATCTTTACTTCACGTTACTAGTAAAAGTATTCCGGAAACACTCCTCTTACTTAGCGGGTTGTATTTCGTTCAGAACCATCCTTAGAGATATGAAAAACTAAAGTTTCATATTAGCGGGTCAAAGGGTTTTCGATTGGTGATATCACAGTCTATTAACTGTGGTGATATTAAACTCTATACTAGTTTGGATTTCCCCATGCTCTTCGAACTATAGGCCTTCCCGCCTTCCTTCTCACGTTATCGGTTGACCGTTTTTCTTGAAAAGTTGACAACTTCGACCTGGGACTTCCCACAGAAGACTTGCTGATTTGAATTGCTGTGTTGTTTTTTGCTGCTTTACTTACCAAGAGCAAGGTCACCACGAATTGCAAAAATTAAGGTCACCTACAACACGCGATACTGACGTTTATTTTGATACTCGAGAAACGGGATAAAAGGAAGAAAAATTAATACGGGATTTTGGATTTTGAAGAAAGTCGCGGGACGCGGGATGAAAGAAAACGTGGAAAAGAGTAGGAATAGGAACACAGATCCCTCCTGGGAGACCCTCATATATAGCTGAGCAAGACGTCATCGCAAGATAGAAACAGGAATTTTCTATTCAATCCCGACAAAACTGTTCACCACGGATCACGATTAAATCGAAACTTTTCTTTACCTGCACGTAAAAAAACATTCGAAACTTTACGATTAAAGATTCTCATACTAGTATATGAACCAAAAATTTTCGTAGAAGTCCAGTGCTTCATGAAATTAAATCCCCGTGATCATCAATCCCGCCATTTTTCGTCATACATTTTCTGGGAGAACTGATACCAGATGGCGATCAATTTGATCCAATTTCTGTTTTACCTGTGAATCCAATTTTTGTAAATCCTCTTAGCGTCCTGCAGTTGTCAGGTGGAGAAGAAAAATGCAGGTCCAATATGAAAAGAAATTACGTCATTTTCCACGAGGTTTGCACTTGCTAAAAGATTCCCACTTTTTACTTTTAGTCCATAGTCATAGAGTCGAACAATAAATATATATTCCTGCGTTTTCTGTCAAAAGTAAGGGGAAATCTGAGCGCAAAGTAGTGACTTAATTTAGTGTATTGAGCTGTTTTAAAAATGTCAAAACAGACAAGTTACTCGCCAGTGGCATCATCAGTGGATAAAGACGAAAAGCTTGAAGTCCGCATTGTTAAGCCTGCTGATTGTCGCGAACCAGAGCAACGGCAGCAACCAAGGTAGGATTGGATTGTATATATATCACGCCACGGGTCTCTGAGCACATGTTTACTAAAATTCTACATTTAGCAAACGTGAGAGGCATCCATAAATGTTAAATTCTTTGTTGATCACGATTTTTTACAGCAATTTATGTAAAGTACATGATATTCATGTAAAGTACACAACAGAAGTTCGCATGATCGAAAATGTAAAAGTTCTACACGTGTTTATAACAAAGCACGCGACGTGTTGTTATTAGACAAAGACGATTTTAATACCGTTGAGAAAGGCAACGAAGCATGTCGACCTTTATCGGGAATTCGCCGTCAGTGTGATCACATGCAAAACGTCCGAGACACGGTCATGTTTGGAAAAGGCAAGGCAATAAATAACGCCGATCGTAGTTGCTATATCATGTATATCATGACTTCGCTTTAGGCAAAATCAAGAATACGAAAACAGGAAATTCACTCATCGTAACCTTACGAACATCAAGAACGAGAATTGTTAATGATTTTAACAGCAGTTGCACACTGTCTAGATGGGAAAATAAATGCAACAATAATTATTACCACCTGTTCACCTACTCAATACTGATAGATCAAAATGAGGTCACCTTATATAAAATGCGATCATAATTTTGTTGCACCATTAGCAGCTTCGATTATAATTATGACATTGCATTTGTGTTCGTCTTGTTAAGTGTATCAGTGGCATATCCAGTGGCTGTATATTAAAGACTGACTTGGGGATCTGTGCAAACTTACCTTTTCACAGACATTTCTCCTTGGAATTAAATGAACTGGAAAAGTCACTTTGGAAAACTGGAGGAGGGGTCCGGGTTTTTTCCACCTGTGGGGCTGAGGGGGGGGGGGGACGTCCCAATGTGATTTTGATTCTATGACATACAGGTAGATATTACGATAGATACAGAATAAGATTGAGAAGAAATATTTGTGCTATAATAATGACATACAGTGTACATGTATTTAACAGTTAAAAATCTAAACTAAATCCATTCTTCTTGGAACCATACAGTATCTACAAACTCTTTAAAAAATATTGTACACATATTTGAGCTCTTGCTCCTCCAATAAATCTTTTTCAACAGGCATCAGCCAGGGTTCGAATTAATTCTGAAAAAATGGTCTGTGAATCGATTTTTTATTTTAAACCATTAAGCTGCAGAGCTTCCCCACTTAAACAAGTAAAATGGTCGGGGGCACATTGCGGCTAAATGGGTTAACTAGAGACACTGTCAGATTTTGTGGTTAAGCTGCAAAGCTTCCCCACTGATGAGTAAAATGGTCTGGCGTTAGACAAGTAAAAAAAAAAGAAGTAGGGCACACTGGGGCGCGTTGCGGCTCAATGGGTTAAGGAAATTTTAAGGAATTTTCAAGAATTTTCACCAATTGGAAGTTAAAAAGTGGAGAAGCACTGCACATTTCAAACATGTGCATCGCAAACTTGCAAAGAAATAGAATTTTGGATGGAATTATACTCATTTTTAAGTACAATCTAACAACAATATCTTCAAAATATATGGTCCTTCATCACATTTACAAAGAACTGATTTATTATTGTACCTTTTTATCAATTTGAGAGACTTTTGATTCATGATTTTGATCCAATTTTTATGAAATTGCATTTGTGAAAAATGAAAATTGATTTGTGATTCATGAATCATGAACTGTTGTTTTGAACCCTGGCTGAATAAGACTTTCCAGCCTTTCTTGCTTCATCTTGAGACTTAATCAGTTTTAGCTTGGAGAATGTAACATGTATCTCCCCCACCCCCATGCAAAAAACTCCTCAATTTGGATTCATATTTTGGAGGGAATTGTTTTTGTAACGATTGGGGGAAGAGGGGGGGGGTCACCCCCTGCTTGTTATACAATTCTACTGTATTGGTCGACCTTCCTCATGATAGGGCATTAATTTGTCTTGCTTTAAAGGAGCATATAATTATAAGTGAGGTCAATTAAGTTACTCTGTTATCTTGTTTATCCTTGCATTTGGTTTTCCTGTTGCTTTAAAGGTGCCTGGCTCCATTGAAATAAATTTCAAAATAGGTTTGATTAATGTTACTATTTACATATGTGGTTACTGGCTGGTTTATATTTGGTTGCAACTTTTGTGACCAAGTCAAATTTGATGATATTCACATCTGGATCACATATGCCAACATGTGTCATACAGCACATCAGGACTACAGCACACAGAAGAAAAATGTAATCCTTGTGGAACATATGGTCTCCCCATTATTGTGTTGTGGTTGTTGTATCAACTTGTATGCCTTTCAATTTATTGTTTATTTTAATCTCATAGTTTGGCATTTTGTGTCATATTTCTACTCCACATTTTGTGTGCTGTGTGCATCACTCTATTACGTTAGTCATTAGTCATTTGACACTATATACACCTCATATATAGTTATTTGACACTATACACATAATATTTTGTAACTAACTTTAAATATTGCACTTTTTTGACACTGTATACTTAATATTTTGTAAATAACATTAGTCATTAGTCATTTGACACTATATACACCTCATATATAGTTATTTGACACTATACACATCATATTTTGTAACTAACTTTAAATATTGCACTTTTTTGACACTATATACTTAATATTTTGTAAAATATCTTGAAATATTTCACTTTGTAATTTCTTTTACATGTCCCCTGTGGAAATCAGCTTGGGTTGGGACAACCATATAAATGGAAAACATAGTCTTTCTTTCATGTGACAAGAGAAGATATTAGTGAAACAAATGAGCCTCACTGATTACCTGACTATAAATTTATCCTTTTATAAACATTGCTTACTTCCATGGTCCAATCCTGTTCAACCTATTGAGTGCTAATACTCATTACTCTCCTCTTGACAAGTAAAATCGTCTGGTGTTAGACAAAGTAAAATAATAAATTAGTAAGCCTGTATGGCTGTAAGGCGCATACGCGCATTGGGGCACAACACAACTTAATTGGTTAATCCTTTCATGTACTAATGATTAGGCGCAATTATTGCACCTAATCATTAGTACATGAATGAATTTAATGTTGGTGGGCACAGGGCCATCATAAGGGCACCTTCCCATTTGAAAGCCGTGCAAGGATTGTGGTTTTATTGGATATTTGGGGCAAATGATCTAATCCGCAATATGTTTTATAGCAACATATAACATATAACATAATGATGTTACCTGTCACTTGTCTTCAGTACTCATGCTTATACAGAGTACAGACAGGGCTGCCAAGGGGGAGAGGGCAAAGAGAACAGTTTTACCCTGGGCCCTGCGCAACCTCTCGGCGACCCTGCAGACAGTGCATGTAAATACTAAATGCAAATAAAAATAGTTTTCTCTCCCCATATCAATCTTGGTTTATAATATTTTATGGATATTATAAAGGCATAAAGCTGTTTCACTTTGGGACTACATTTGGCATATCAGAGATTTTTTCAGTATTTTGTTGGGTGACGCAAAGTGATTGGCGTATTCGGTCCAAACGTTTCGAAACGATGTTATTTGACCGAAAGCAATTCAGGCTGAAACTATGATAATATGTTTTAAAAGCCTCTGCGGAGGAGAGGCTAAGGCATAAACCCCTTTAACATACAGAATATAACTGGCTGGGAAAGAGGTTGACACTAAGGATTGAGTTAGACATTAGGTCACCTGGCATATTTCATTGGTAACAATTTGTTGATAAATAGATTTTATGAATCAAAATTTTTGCCTTGTCATCTCAATACGGGAATAATTGTCGTGTCGGACACACCCCTTATAGTCTTGCAGTTTTCCGCGTTTGTTATACGCTTATAATTAAGAAAATGCTACTATCAGCAACTTTCTAAGTAACATGTCCGTTTTAATGAAGGATAGTCTTTGGTTGTCTGTGATGTGTGTCACACATGTGGGGGTATTTGTCTTATAATCTTGAACCGTCTGTGCCAGTGAGGGATGCAACTACTTGGAAAATATAAGGAGAATTTCGACGTTTCGCCCTTCGTCTAGAGTTACTTCGAGCAAAGGCCCTTAATCACGGCCGCTTACACTAGCGAACTCTAGACGAAGGGCCTTCGCTGGAAACGTCAAAATTCTCCTTAAATTTTTCAGGTAATATGAAGCTTTAATCAAACTCGCTAGAAAATTTACAATACCATGTGAATATGTCCTCTTGTAGGTCTATTGGCAGGCCTTCCTGTTGTTAGTTAATAAGCGACGAAGGTGTATTACCAGAGGTGTATTACTGAGGAGAATGCTACACTGCATGCACCATCCCAGTCTCTTTCTCAGAGAATTAGTGTTATACTGTAGTATTAGCGCATGTGTCTAGGATTAGGGTTATCCCAATGGATTAATTTGTTAAAGGTAGGTAGTTTGAAGGTGCAGATAGTTGCATTCCTCCAAACGAAAACTTGGTATTTGTCTTAGACAAACTAAGACTTAGTTGTCTATAAATATTTAGTATTACCGACATATCTTGTGTAATGTTTAATAAAAATATTCCTAATATGTCGAATTTTGTGGTAAGTATGGTGTAACAATTTCGCTATTGGGTGTGATAATGCAGAGAAATATGAAATCCGAACAGAAAAAAACACAATACAATAGTATTGTATTGTCAATACGACAGAGAAATATCAAACCCGTAGGCCGTACAGAAAAAACACAATACAATACAACAGAGTGCATCTCAGTATATATGCCAATGCTCGAACCATGCTGCACGAGTGCACGGGTTGAAACGGCTGAAATCCTTTGGCCAATCACAATCGAGATAGTATTGGAAAGTTTACATAGTGATGGTGCAACTTAATCTTGGCACTTTGGTATAACACCGCAGAATAGATATTATTTATTCTGTGATAACACTTTAATTTGGCACCACATTTCTTTTTCTGTTTCTTGCGTGACGTACAAATATCTCGTGAATTTGATCACCTCCCATAATTATTGCATTATTTATTTCTACATTATTCATTTTTTCATTTGTATTTTTGACTCTTATGCAAGCGAGATATCCGGCACCCGTTGCACAAGAAATCCTTAATGTAAACAAACGTCATTGTAAGAGTGTTGAATTTAATTATAGCGGTATGGCAACCGTATAATTGTAACTTACTGTAAAGTATGAGGTCATTATTATAACAGTTACTTGCGTGACAAGGTTGAAGTTCTTATACTCGTGGCAGTCTGGGGATTTTGATTTACCTTTATTTTAATTATGTCCGATATTAAACTTAAAGTCGCAGATAAGAGGTTTGTAAACGACTATTTTATTTTGATTGCTGGAGCTTGAACGGCAAATCATATCGTTTTAAAATGTAACCATATTCCTACTGCCTGCATTTACTGATTAAAACATATACATGCAAAGTGTCAAGTTGTATATTAGTTATATAATATTGTTGCAGAACTTGTGTAAACATTTGTCAGTGAGATATCTTGCACAAAACTATATATAGTTGTATTTATATTGTTACAAAACTATGTAGTTGTATTTTAGCCTGAATTGCTCAAACTCATGATGGGCCAATTACCATGAACAATATTTTAAATAGAAGAATAACATTTGGAAAATAGTAGTTTAATTGCAATGAAATGATCTGATTTTACGGTAGATAGCTCTTGCAGCTGCATCACATTACATATAAACATTCATACAATACGCGGCTCCATGCTCTGGCCGGTGTCACAGTGATATTTATATGTATAAATGCTGTGCTGAGTGGTTATATTACTACCTTAAAAAATAAGCAGAAAGTCGACGTTTCGAGCGAAGGCCCTTCGTCAAGAGTTAGTAGCCAAGTAGTAATATAGCCACTCAGCACAGCATTTTCACATTGGTACTACACACACTGGTACAGACAGTTTTAATATATATATGTATCCCGTGGTTTGAGTATCCCCATCGCTATGCATATACGTAGGCTTCATATCTGGTTAGGGTAACAGACCGGTCAAACGTTCGCGTATCGACTGCTTGTATGCGACAAACAAATAGTATTGTCTTCAGGAAGCTCTAGCAAAAATTGTAAAGAAAATTTCGAGGGTGTAATTAACTAGTGAACTAAGTGAAGTTTAGCTTCTGTCACAAGGAAAAATCGATGAAATTCCTGAGCTTATTATAACTTTGGCCGTTTCCTTATAATAAACGCTTTTCTTTCCCTTCACTCCCATTATTTTGGCAGACATATCCCCGCCATTTTCGTGGAGTCGTGCATGATATGTGTATGGGGATGCGCAAAACGTGGAATACATATTATCAGTGATATCTGCACTGTGACCTCGACTGTGACACCAGTGCATGTATGATATTAGGGACCTTAAGTACGTATGACGGCAACGCGTCAACCAAAACAAAATTTTGTAGTTACCACTTGTCGCGGCTTGAAATGTTTGCGTTGTACGAGACGTGAAAATCCCTGGTTTGCCGTTGTAAAAAGCGTAAACACAACGTCTCTATAAAGTCCCGTGGGGCTTTTAATTATTCATTTATTTTCTGCGAGATCAGGAATATTATTGTGTAAATAGCCGTTGTCGTCGCGTCGCCGTCCAGCTTGCGTCGTCGCGTTGCCGTTCAGTTTACTGAATACTGAACATTTTAGACTGCATGTGTACTTTCTTTTATACTGGCCGTAGAGGCAAATAAGCACATACAATAAATCCCCGCTATGCATGCTATATCCGGCGTATATGTCGAATATAACTTATCTCGAATATCACTTATCCACGTTTCCCGAGTTTATGTACAAGAGCCAATCAGCGATTAGCTTACAACTTACAATGACGTAATAACTTACAACTTACAATGACGTTACATAATAGGTTACACCTTAGAGACCTTACGATTTTAGGACGGCAACGCGACGGCAACGGCTACCAATACAATAGATTATTGAAAATAATTGAGTAATTACAATATACGAATCATTTAGACATTGTCCTCGCTCTGTTTACAACGCCAAATCACAGATTTTCACGTCTTGATACAACGGCTGCATTTCAAGCCACAACAAGTGCAAGTTCAAACTGCGTTTAGCAGAACTCTTCCCAACCATAAAAACCATGTCTTCAACTTCTAAAACTGTATTAAATTCATACGATTGATAATATACCACGAACTATCTTTACTACCATTTATATGAAGGAATTTGTTTTGGCCGTCGCCGTCGCGTTACCGTCCTAAAATCGTAAGGTCTATGACGTACTGCTTAAAGAAACTTCAACATGGCGGATGTCAAAGAAATGATGAATTTTAAGCAACAGGAGATTATACATATCTTAATGTAGTCCGATCTGAGAAGTGCACTTCATACATTTATAATATATTTACATTGAAACAAAAAAACATGTACATAGAAACAAATAGTAGAAGTACGCGAGGGTATATACAGTCTGCGAGTTTAATAACTAAAATCGTAAATGAGTTTGACTAAAATTTAAAAATAAAATCTTAAATAAACGTCTGCGGAAGGGCGTTTATAACTCGAACTCCTCGCTATCTCGAACTGAAAATGACCGAAAAATAATAAATTGTTTTTATTAGGGAATACATGCACGTATAACGTATTTGATTTTGCAGCGCAAACTACGTTGTATGATTGGTGGTTGGGTTATTGGATCAACCACGTTAATTTAATTTAATTTATTATATAAAGTATAGACTATAGTGCTTTAAGCCTTTATAGATCGAGATTTCGAGCACTGAGCACTCATTTAGATTTGGTACATTTTTTCAAAATTATTAATGGTTTGATCTATGCAAACAAAGATATAGCCTACTACCAGCAAGAAATCTTGGCAATGAAAGGAAAACGAGAGCAACAAACAATCCAGATCTTATTACGTACCTTGCTGTTGTTTTATAGCTATGTTAAGTTAATATACTTTTATTTCTATGTTTGTCAGTTGAACCAGTTATTCATGTAAGCTTTATATATATATATACGCCATAATTAAGGAAATCAAAATAGATAACATTGATTTCGTATGATAGTTCGTCCCTGCACGAATGTACCATTAGGGCGAAACAATTTAACTTCTTGCTGTGATTCAAAAAGCATCACAAATAGAAGACCACCAAGACCGACTAATGTATTTTTCCTTTGAATATGTTTTCTTAAAGTGAATGTACTTTGTCTTCAATGTGTTTTTAAATGAATGTATACTTTGTTACTGAATGTAGTGCTGAAGATGTCAATAAAGATGAGAAAGCATCTGAAGAAGAGAAAAAGGCTGAACCAACTCCGATGGTCTCCTATAAAGATTTGGTAAGAAATGTATTTATTTATTTATTAAAGAACAACCCGTCAGTTTGAGTATCGAATAGTTTGGGAACACGGTTTTGCATTTTCGAATGGGTGTTTCATCATAAGCTCTCCGGCATGCGTTAATATTTATCACATATAGTCTAGAGTGCAAACTGTTGGCTATCAATGTAGTGCACCTATCAATGAAATTTTGGGTAAAATTCCGTGGGTGGGGAGACGAATTAATAATAACAAGACGCTCTATGGAGCGTTAACTCGCTGGGGCCATACAAATGAAAACTAAATTTTGTCACCATATTTGCCTTTGCTCATAATTTGGTAACCGCAACAGAAAAAACAGAACAATTTACAGAAAACAAGACGCCAGCTCAGGCGTTCACACCGGCCTCGGTTGGCCAAATAACCTCTCATGTGAGTTTTGTTTCAACCTCGGTCCCAGGGTCTTTCCAGGAACGGCACGGAGCGGTTGGTTTTGTTTATTTGTTTTTGTGATATGCATTGTGCATAGTATGTTTTGCGTGGGAAAGGCGAAGAACCATTGTCCTTCTGTTCAGGCAACACATGCTGTGCACCTGTGCTTTTGTCCTTCACACGGAAAACATGCAAATTCCGGTTATATAGTATTATAGAATAGTTTTTGGTGAACTATATTCAAACTTATCATGTTTAGCACAGCAATCATTTTTATTGTTTACAAAATTGCCTTCACAACTTACAGTATTTCACACAGATTATATTTTTGAGTAGTGTGCCCCAATGGCAATGCACCCTACTTTATTATTTTAACATGATGTCTCATACCAGTCGATTTTGCTTGTCAAGGGGAGAGTGCTGCCGCTCTCAAATTCGTTAGGTTTGTATTGGAGGTAGGTTGCTCAGTTTTGAAGTTTTTTTAGTATAATGACCGGCCCAGGTCAGGATTTTATAGAATCAATAACACAGTACTAAAATGCGGTGCCCTACATATAAAATTTCCGGCGTTTCCGCCTACAAGTAAAGTTTATATCAGTAGTACGCTACATCCTTCTGTCGGCCGCCAGTTGGTCCGGCAGGTACAAAACGCAGGTTGCAGGTTGGAATTTCGCAGGTTGGGAATTTCGCAGGTTGGAATGTTGCAGGTTGCCAGGAATTTTGCAGGTTGATGATGCAAACTTAAAATTACACCACTATAAAGTATTTTAGTAAAATTTAATTGTGTACTTATTGCAGTCTGACTCCTTGTCGGCGCTTTTGATATCAGACTATCCTGCTGCCATGTTCCTAGCCTCTGCTCTAAGGAGTGGCCATCACCCTTGTGAAAACATGACTAGATTGGGTTGGACCGTCAGGGGGAATGTTTCGATTGTTGCGAGGAGCCTACATGACGTGGTGGCAGTTCAGAAAATGCCTGAACGAAGTGTCTCTCCTCTGCACCCACTTATGAGAAGTCTGATCAAGCCCCCAATTGCCGTATCATTACTAGAGAGTTAGTTAACTTTTAACAACATTCCAGTATAAACGCCGCCATGTCATGTAGGCACCATGATGGCAGCAGGATAGTCTGATATCAAAAGCGCCGACAAGGAGTCAGACTGCAATAAGTACACAATTAAATTTTACTAGAATACTTTATAGTGATGTAATTTTAAGTTTGCATCATCAACCTGCAAAATCCCCAACCTGCAAAATTCCAACCTGCAAAATTCCCAACCTGCAAAATTCCAACCTGCAACTTGCAACCTAGGATTAAAAAAATACTATCAAAATGAAGAGAGAAGTGAGACAAATTCACTGGTATACGGCCGAAAAGAGAAAACCAATGATATCAAAGTTACTGATCAAGGATCAAACGCTCTGCATTTTTTATAATTAGTTTAATTAGTAATTTTGAGCGATTTGTCAACAATACAATTTCGCTTGGCGCTTTGAAAGACCATAAATCGCTAGAATACTGTTGTTTACTATTGTACTTACGGATGTTTCTTACGCTGAATAAAACGGTGGTATTTTTATCTTTATTGCGCCATTAGCCATTAGGCATTACAAATCATTGAACTATAAGTAAACTATATAGTTTATACTTACAGTTCAATGTTACAAATACAAGGACAAACGTACTGCGAGTGATTTGTCTGTCAGCAATACGTACAGCAAGCGATTTTTCAACAATCCAATTTCGCTTGACTTTGAAAGGCCATAAATCGCTAGAATACTGTTGTTTTGTAATATATTTGACATCCGTAAATACAATTTCTTAGGCTGAATCGAACGATGGTATTTTTATCCTTTAGTACATTAGTACTCATTAGGCATTACAATATCATATTTCACTCAACAGTTTTCACGTTCCACAGCTGACTATTGGCAGGGACGCCGGAACTGGGGGGGCAGGGGGGGCGGCTGCCCCCCTTGCCTTTTGCTAGGGGGGGCAGGGGGGGGCAGAAGTGCCCTTTTAGTTGTAAAATAATACGTGATAAATCACATTTCCAACGATGCTTTTTGTAGGAAAATCACGAGATTCAGGTAATTTATAGTTTATATTTATAAAAATTTTGGGAAATTTTTGGAATTTAGAAAAATATTTTGAAGAGATGGCGAAAATTTAAGATATCCGGAAAAATTTTTGGCTTCACGGAAACATTTTGCATGTCCGGAAAAATTTTTTGACCCCTAAAATGGGTACACTGACCGAAATTTTTTTTGGCGACGGGGGGGGGGGTCGCCAGTGAAAAAAAAAAATTCAGTAACGGTGCCCTTGGTGTGCGTCCGCCCCCCTTTGCCCTATTATCGTTCCGGCGTCCCTGACTATTGGGGTAAATTTTATATTAATATGACACCAATATGCTTCTCATAAAGTAGTCATCTATTAAAACTACGTTTTGCAGTTTAAGTTATAACTTTTTACCTTGCAATTGTCTTTGGCTCGTTTATATTCAGATTCAGTATATTATGATAGTGCACAGGAATTCAAAGATCCAAATTTCGGATTTTCAGAGTCGTGCACCAAGAAAAATGCATTGACTAAACTAGCAAAAATGCCCAAAGTTAGACACAAT